AAAATTGCCAAAAAAAAAAAAAAAAAAAGAGAGAGAAATGAAAAGCCTGCTTATTCATATAGTGTTAAGCAAATAGTCAATATATGCTATTTCTTTTGTAACAGATTTATCTAATTCTGGAAGAAAGGAAATTGAAGCCATCTATGCAGTCTTAAAATCAGAGGTAAGGAAAATTAAAGACAACTATCGAAGTTAGATTTTTTTTCTTTGAAATCATGAAAATTATTCAAAATTTCAGTTTTCTCTTTTAAAAAAAAAAAACTTTTTGTGGTAATGGGTATTAAACCAAGAACCTTTGCACTCAGCTATATCCTTGTGCCTTTATTTTTCAATTTGAGAAAAGGTCTGACTAAGTTATATAGGTGGGCATTGAACTTTTAGTGTTTTTTTTCCAGTTTTTTAAAAGTTAATTTTATTGGTACATTTTAGATATACATAAATGATCACATTCATCATAGGAAATTTCCTGTATATAATACATTTTGGTTCTTCTTTTTTACCCAATCCTCTCCCCTCCCTTCAACTCCTCTTCTCCTTGTTTACAAAAGCTTTGTTTTTATTTTTTACTTCTATTCTCCCCCTGTATTCTGTTCCCCTTCTCATTTGAATATTTTCTTCCCATTTCCCAATATCTATTATACATCTTTTTTCTTACTTACCCTTTGTTCTCTTGCTCCAGAGAAATAATGTGATATTTAAACATGTGTGTCTGCTTTATTTCACTTAAGAGTATGGTCTGAAGATGCATCCATTTACCTAGAAAACATCTCAAGTTTATCCTTTCTTTATGGTAGAGTAGTACTCCATTATATAAAGAACCCATATCTTCTTTATCCATTTATCAGTTAATGGGCAATTGGGCTGGTTCCAAGATTTAGTTATTACAAACTGTACTGCTGTAAACATGGGTGTGCATATATTGTTGTGGTATGATGCTTTTAACTCTTTCAGGAAGATACTAAGAAGGGGAATAGCTGGGACAAATGGAACCTCTAGTTTTAGGTTTTTGAGGAATCTCCAAACTTATTTCCACAGCGGTTGCATCAGTCTACACTACTACCAACAGTGGAGCAGGGTTCCTTTTTCCCCACAGCTTCACTACCATTTGTTATTGGGTGATTTCTTAATAGTTGGCCTTGAACTTTTAATTCTCTTGCCTCAGCCTCCTGAACTGCTAGGATCATGGGTGTATGGTACTATGCTCTGTTTAGTCCTATCTTTTTAAGGGCACTGCTTACCATTTTCATCTTTTTCTATTTATCTGAGTTTTTTGTTTTGTTTTGTTGAGCTTTTAGAAGCCTCCCTTAGATGAAAAATATATTTACAGGGCCAGGGATTTAGCTCAGTGGCACCATTCCTGCCTTGCAAGCACAAAGTCCTGTGTTCAGTCTCCAGTACTGAAAAAAAAAAAAATTACATATTACAGTTTGCTATTTTTTTTTTATATTCCTATCTCTATTTCTACATACTGAAAGTAAGAAGACATCAAATGTAGGCATAATAGTGGCAAAGATTTATCATTTCAAAGGATTTACTGTGTTCTTTTTTTTTTTACTGTGTTCTTACAATGTGCTAAATTGCAAAAAGTATGTATAAAGAATGAAATTGTTTAATAAACTTTTAAATATCCTAACATAAAAAAATGACATTTGGATACAAAGAAGATAAGAGTACAGGAATAGCAAATTAATTTTTACCATTTTATTCATTTTTAATGTCTAGTTGTGGCTAGTTTTAGGCATTTTGACTAAAGCATATTAAAAGAACTGAGGAAAGCCTGGAAAGCAGTCACAGGAAAGCCCTGAAGAAACTGAAAGCATTTCAAAATGGGAGGTACTGTAAAGGACTAACGACACTCATATGTTTAGCTTGGGATAAGAACAGTGAGAAAACACTTAACGATAGTACTCTTCGAGGACTGGTAAGTGTATTCTCCCCTGTGAGAAAATATTTACCAACAGCATTGTTGGACTTTGGGCTAGAATATTCAGGGAGATTGTGAAATTTGAAAGTGGAGGGACATCCCAAGAGAAAGTATATTAGCATTCTACATTAGAAGAAAGCTGTTTGGTGGCACTTAAGAGACCTTGCAGTAATTAGGTACATGCCCCAGTGACAGATGAACTTGATAGCTTCACTCTTTGTAAGACCAAGGTAGGAAATCCTTGAAGCACTCATTGGTACAGAGCCACCCACAAAAGCTAAACAACTGAAGTATGTGTGGTGGCATTAACTTAAGTGAATTCTCCAATGTGCATTCAGGGAAATAAAGTAAATAACATTAACCTGCTCAATGAATGTCTGCTTTATGTATTATTTGTATTGCATTTGAAATGGGAGCTAGAAATCTCTGTCCTACTGACCTCAGTTTTTTAAATGGCTTTTACAGTGTTATCACTGGACTATTGCAAGTGTGAATCCAGGTTTTAGAAATAATTATTTTTGGTAAAACACATCCCTAAACATAAGCCAACTTCATTTGGTGCTTATTCAAAGTACCTTGAGCTACTTATACTCAAATACTAAGGTAATTTTAACTGTAGGTAATTCTCACCTCATATACTGATTTCAGGCCCTAACCAGTGGTGGCAAACCTATGTCTAGCGTGCCACAGACAGCTGTTTGTTATCACTGAACGCTCTAAAAGGTTTGCCATCACTGCACCCAACCCTTTATGTGACTCTGCACTAGATCCCTGTTCAAGACTGAGTGCTGTATATTCTATTTAGAAAGTTTTTTCCAGAGGAAATTAGATTTGCTTACAGATATTAATATGTATAACTGACTAAATTAGTTAGAATTCTTTAGAAACAAGTAACAGCAACCAGCCTAAGTTAATTCTCTGTATGGCAATAAATAGTCATGATATTCACCATCTTGATCCAATGGATTCTTTCTTGTTTTTTTTTTTTTTGAGACAGGGTCTCACTATGTAGTTGAGATTGACCTGAAACTCACTATGTAGCTCAGGCTGGTCTCGAACTCACAGTGATCCTCCTGCCTCAGCCTCCCAAGTGCTGGGCTTACAGGCGTGTGCCACCACCCCCGGCAAATGGATTCTTTTTAATGTCTTTAAATTCTCATTTTATAAATTATAGGTGTGAAAAAAGTGATGGTGAAATTTTTTAATTAAAAATTTAAGTAATTTATAGCAAATCCAAATTTATTTACTTGATTTCAAAACATATGTAAAGGTGGATGTAGTGGGTCATGCCTATAGTCCAGCTACTCAGGAGCCTGGGGCAGGAGGATTGTTTGAACCCAGGAGTTCTAGGTCAGACTAGGCAACATAGTAAGACCCCATCTTAAAACAAACATATACTGTATATTCGTAACTCTTATGCACTAATGGGAATATATCTATCTTGTAAATACTGATTCCGGATTTTAGTTATCTTCTAATAGATTTTTGGTTGTCATTGCTTCTGCTTTCTTTTTATTTTTATTTATTTATTATATTTATTTATTTATTTATAGTTTGGTACCAGGGATTGAATTTAGCACCTTGCGCTTACGAGGCAGCCGGCAGAACCACTGAACTAAATTCCTGGCCCTTTATTTGATTTTTATTCTGATACCTTTGAGAACTTTGACCACTAAGGATTTTGTTTGAGAAAATGGCTATCATCTTTGCTCCATAATTACAAAGCATTTTTCTTAGGTTTATAAATACCAATTAGAATGATTATTCTATTGAACTATTTTTCATTTCTTTGTCATCTGTTTCCTTCCAGTCACCAGTCATTCATATATATATATATATATGCACATGTACACACACAACACATATATATGAACCTTCAGTCTTATCAAATAAATGTTGATGTATAAGTGTCATATATAGTGAAAGAACTGTGACATACTCTTTTAGCAAAATAGGATGGTCAGGGCTTTGTCAAAATTTTGTAGAATGAAATATTTTCTTGTTCCATGACTAATTGATGTGAAAATCATATTTCCTTTATGTTCTTAGAAATACATTGTTTACTCATCAATTCCTGAGTTTGAGAAAAATAAGATTTTGCCATCTGAAGACTCTTCTGAAATTTTGCTTCTACACTTTCACCATAACTGTATGGAATACTGCTTTCTGTCTCTTTGTTTTACATTCTCCTGAGTGGTTAGGGTTTTTGTTGTTGGTGGTGGTGGTGGTTGTGTGGTTTTGTTTTGTTTTGTTTTGTTTTTTTGCTGGTGATAGTTAGGATTGGACTCAGGGCTCCTCACATGGCAAGTCCTCTACTTACTCAGCAGCTTTTTTTTTGAGACAGGGTCTTGCTTTGTAGTGCATGCTGGCCTTGAATTCACTTTGTGGCCCAAGGTGGCCTCAAATTTGCAGAAATTCTGTCTCAGCTTCCCAAATGCTGGGATTACAGGTGTGCACCACCATACCTGTCTTGAAAATTAGTTTTATTCTATTAAAAAGAACAGACAAGCTTTCTCTGTTGGAAGATTTTCAAGAAAAAAGAAAAGCCATAAATTTCTATCCTCACAAATAGTTAGGATTGCTTAACAAAGAAACTAAAACTGTTTTCAGTGGACCCTGATAGTATACCAATGGTTAAGCAGAATTGAATGTTTTGAGGTTTTAGTTATTTCATAGGCTCTCAAGAATGATTATGTGGCTAGACTTTAGGAAGGAACTACAGCTAAAACTGGAGGCCATAAGGAGTCTATTTTGTTCATTTATGCTCTTTTCAGTGCTGTTTTTGTTTTGTTTTTCCAGTTATAGGTAGAACCTGGGCCCTTGGGCATTCTAGGCAAATACCGTACCACAGAGGTACATCCCCAACCTTTCTGTGCTCTTTATTTTTAAATTTTTATTTTGAGGTTATTCTCAGTAAATTGCTGAGGCTGGCATCAATCTTGTAATCCTTCTGCCTCAGCTTCCCAAGTAATCAAGGTCATAGATGTACACCACCATAACCTGCTCTCCTTTATGAGCAGTTATTCTTTCATTTTGTTTCATATTCATATATTGTAAAATATGGCCTTTGACATCTCTTGATATGTTACAGGTTCGGCTACGTGAAAAGAATCTGTCCTTTATGTTCCTTCTCAGTCTTTCTGACTAGGTATTGACCACTTTCAAAGGGCTTTTATTTTATTTTTTATTTTTAGTACCGGGGATTGAACTCGGGTCCTTGTGCTTGCAAGGCAGGTGACTGAACCACTGAGCTAAATCCCCGGTCCTTATTTTTTTATTTTTTGAGACAGGTTTCATAGTTCAGGCTGGCCTTAAATTCACTATAATGCCCAGGCTACCCTTGAATTTATGACAGTCTTTCTGCTGTTTTTAAGTTCTAGTTATTACTCAGAATTCTTCTGCCTCAACCTCCCAAATGCTGGGGTTACAGGTGTGTGCCTCCATTTCTGACCACTTAGTAAATTATCTGTAATCTTTAACAGTTTTAGGGTCAGTTTTTCTTGCTCCATTATGTTCTCATTATATCCATCCAAATATCAAGGAATAATAATAGATAAAGTTAATTTATTATTTAAGTACATAAGACTCGACCAATTTTTTATTTTTTTCAACAAAACAAGTCTGTGATGTCTAGGATCATTGAATTATACTTAAGACTGTATTGTCTACTTTTTTCCCTGTGGTACTGGGGGTCAAACCTGGGGCCTCATGTGTGCAGGGCGAACACTTTACCACTGAGCTGCGTCCTCATCCCCTTCCTTGAGTACTTATAATAGTAGTTGTTCCAACAGTTCTAGTGGTGTTTTTCAAATGGGGAGTTTTAGAGGTACCTCGGGAACCCAGGGGACAGGCAAACAAATAATGTGAGTCTTTAGTTGCACTCCAACCAAAACATTTTTAGCTTTTTTTTTTCCCCTGGTTTGTATCAAACTGGGAACTGAATTCAGGGAATGTTGGGTTACATCCCAGGCCCCTTTTAATTTTCTTTTGAGAAAGAGCCCTGCTAATTGCCCAGGATGACCTTAAACTTGAGATCCTCCTGCCTCAAGCTCTTGAGTAGTTAAAATTACAGGTGTATACCACTGCGTCTATCCAGAAATCTTTTTTTAAAATATATATTTTTTTAAATTTACTGTTTGGGGGAAAAAAACAGATGCTTTAACATACAATCTCTTTATTTTTTAGACATGGACTGCCTACTGGATGCTAGACACTGGGTACACAAAGATGGGAGAATCACTAAGCAGGAGCTTCTTAGCAAAAATTCAGAGAAGCAAAATGTTTTCTCTCCCTTTGGTTTAGAATTAGGCATATGTATATAAACATGCTTTGCTTTTGTAACTTTTTATCTTGAAGGTGTATTTTCAAGGCCAGAATTCTGTTTGGGACTTATATTTTGCATTTTTTGTGTGTGAAAGTATGTTTTTCATGATGCCAAGCACATAACTATTACTAACAAGTTTTACTTGCAATCTTTTTGTTTAAAATACTTTTTTCTTTTTTTCTAGAATGAAAGGCTTAAAAAACTTTGTAGTGATCTAGAAGAAAAGCATGAAGCATCAGAACTTCAAATAAAGCAGCAATCTACAAGTTACCGAAATCAATTGCAACAGAAAGAGGTAAAGATTATTATAGTCACTTCATATTTATTTCAGTATGATTTATTTTGAGATAGAGTCTTGCTAAGTCATCCAGGCTGGGTCAAAATTTATGATCCTCCTGCATCAGCCTCCCAGGAACTGGGATTGTAGTATGTACCACCTTTGCATCACTAAGTTGTTTCCTTCTAATACTTGGGCTAAAACCTTGGGGAAACTATTTTATCTAAAGAGACTTGATGTATAAGCTGTTGAGTGCATAGACAGTTTTCATTGTCATTTATGATTTGATAATTGCAAACGGAGCTCTAAGAAATTATCTATACTACTCCCTACACACACAGAAGATAGCAAACCCATTTTTTTCACATCCTAAAATTTATTTATTTGACAAAAATCCAAAAAGATATTATCATGACCAGAGAGAGAATCCTGATTAATGAAGTCTAAAGCTTATACACTTTTACTGTTGTTTTTTGGTGCCGGGGATCGAATTTGGGACCTTTCGCTTGCAAGGCAGGCGGCGGCACCACTGAGCTAAATCCCTGGCCCCAAGCTTTTAAAAAGCTGTCAAATACTACAAACATCACAAAATGCAGAAATAGAATCAGTGTTTTGATTAATAAAGCAAGAACCTTTGAACCGGGCGTGGTGGCGCATGCCTGTAATCCCTGCACTCGGGAGGCTGAGGCAGGAGGGTTACTGTGAGCCGAGACCAGCCTGGGCTACATAATGAATTCCAGGTCAGTCTCAACTACATAATGAGACCCTGTCTCAATAAAAAAACAAAATAAAACGAAACCAAGAACCTTCTAGGAAACATTCTTTTTTTTCCTATTTTGTATATTTCATTGTGCTCTTTATTTATATTTGCTTCTCTCATATATGCAAGACCATACAATATTTAAGCTTATGTGTTTGAGTTACTTAACATTATGGCCTCTAGGTATGTCCATTTTCCTACAAATGATTCACATTTATCCTCTTTATGGCTGAGTAGTACTCCATTGTATTTAAATACCACCTTTTCTTTAACCATTCATTTGTTGATAGGCACTTGGGTGGGCTGTTTCCAAGATTTAGCTATTGTGAACTGTTCTACTCTGAAGAGGATATATATATA